AAAAAAAAAAAAAAAAAAAAAAAAAGGCATACTATTTGCAGAGAGCTTGTGCACATCTTTCTGTATAATTTAAATCACCTCTAGATTACTTAATACAATGTGAGTGCTATGTAAATAGCTGTTTTATGTCAGCACAGATTCAGTATTTTCTCAGAACAATTTTTATTTGAAATAGATTGAATCCGTGGATGCATACCCTGTGTACATGCAGGGATGACTAGATTAATAACTCTGGATCCTGAGTACTTAGGATGTGCAGCCTCTCTTCAAGCAGGACCTCATCCTCTCAACTACCTTTCCAGGATAGCAGTAAGTTTAGGATTTGAAGGGGTGAGTCCAAGGTCACAGGCAGTCCCAAATCAGGGTGGGGCAGACAATGGCCAGGATTTGAGGTCCTGGGCTGGCACCAGAGCCTCTTCCCAGGCAGCATGCTTGCCCCCAGTGGAGAAGACTAGACAGACTTTCATGACTAAAGCTGACCAAAGCCATCATGCACTCACCATTTTGAAACAGAGAGAATGGGAGAAAGAGAAGACAGAGAAAAAGAGAGTGAAAGAAAGGAAGAAAGAGATTTGCAGTTTTATTTTTTATAGATAGCATTGCAGATTTTCTGTAGTGATGGAATGAAGTATTTTCTTTTAATTAATGTACAGTTTTACCAAAATATTTTGTATCTTCACAAACTTGCTTTAACCCACTTCCCCAACCCCATTTCTTGTCACTTCCTTCTGCTTTAGCCCTCCCATCCTCTTCCCAGCCCCCCTCACTTACCCACATTCTGGGTGAACCAGACCACAAGCCACCACACAGTTCTATGTTCTTTCACTCCTTTTCGCCCCAACTGTTCTTACAATTGCTTTTCTTCTTTATCTCTAAAACTTTTAATCATTTTTCAAAACTTGCTTCAGGAAACATGCCCCTTTAGGGGACTTTTCCCTACTTTCCCGTGCCCCTATTCATGCTCGTATATGTGTATGTGTTTGCTTAATGCTTTTGTCTTAGAATAAATATACCATTTGATCATATTGTTTTAGTTTCCAGTCCTTATTTGCTGACAGTCCTGAGCCTCTCATCTCTCTTGGCACATAGTAGGCACTAATAATATTTATTGAAATGAACATTCATCACAGATATTTTTTAGCAGTTTGGTACCTATGCATGGAAGTCCTTAATTCACTCATTAGCTTAATATTTAATGGGTTACCTCCGTGATTGCCAGAAGGGAAGACCCAACAAGAATTTAATGTTCTACATCTATTATGCTTTGTTTTTTTAAAGCCCTACTCTTCATCATAGTCTTGAAGCAGCAAAAGAATATTGACCTCAAGAATTCATACAGTGACCTTTGCTTATAGGAAAGATCATAATTCTATGATTTTCTTCTAAAAACATTCATTGAGCTAAAAGTTAGGTATTTTTCCCTCAACTGTGTATCCAGTAATGGGCTTTTTTGATGACAAAGAGCATGATAGAAGATATTATTAACTTTTACTTAGCTTCTTCTTAACTGAGTACAGGCCTCCCTGTGTACTCAGGAGAGACAGCAAACAAATTTTAAAATCAGGTTAGGTAAAACAAAGTTAGGAAATTTATTTGAAAGATTAAAAAGAGTCAAGCATTCAATTTTATGATTAATAGCAGAGTTTATACATAATAGCATTAATTGGGTAATCTCCCTAGGATATTTTTTTCCTGGTAGTTTCCCAGCTCTCAAATACCCAGGAAAATGATACTATTCTTTCTGCATGTTGAGCATTGCAGAAGTAACATCTGGAATTAGGATCGATCAAAATATAAAACTAATCAATGTCAGCAGATTTGAAGAGTTTCAGTGTCCCTGTTTTGCCAGATGACAATGTACTTTTTAAATCGAAAGTGTCAATGTTTCACTTTGATATTCTAAGGAGTTACCTCTTGATTAGATGTTTGTCTCCTAAGGCCATTTCCATCCAGCTGCTGAACCCACATTTCTCCCCAGATGGCATCTCCCTGTTGCTTCCCTCATTTCCCTCTTAGTTCCCCTTCCTGTCCTGTACTATTGGCTCTTCCTGTTGTGTTTGTATGTCAGTTTCAATAATTACATCATTCTTCCCAGAAATTGCATCATCACTCAATCTTGTAAGATATTGCAGGCAATGGGAGAGGAGTTTCAATTTTTTACCCTAATAGGAATAGCTAGTAACTATATACTGTTTACTTTGAAAGGGGCTGTTTTCTAAGTGCTTCAACCATTTAGTCATCACAATAATACTGTAAAGTAGGTACTGGTATCACCTACATATTTGAAGATGAGTTCATTTATTCATTTTCTATGATTAAATCAATGCTGTATCAACTATCAACTATCAGGTAGCCTCCTGATACAAATACGCAGAATCCATGGGATTTTTTTAAACTTTATTTTAATGTAACACAAATAGATATTAATAAAGAATATATTTTTAAAGTCTTCTTCAATGAAAAGTTAAAGCAAAATTTCATAACTAAGGAATAACAGTTAATACACTGTGTACCATAATCTTAAAAGAAAGGCCAAAATGTTAGAGTACAAGACATAAACAAAAAAAGACTCTTACAAAAAAGGGAGTTTTAATCATTCCCTAAATTATATATTCCATAGTTTCAAAAATATTTCAATATATATGCTAAGTTGTTTCATTTATACCAGTAGGTCCTCAGTTCATTGAAAAGAAAGTTTTGTACTATTATCTATTTGTTTCTTTTTCTTAAGAGTTTTCCTTTTTTTATAATCCATGGTTCTTATATATGCCTAAGCAGAATTTCCTACAAAAAAGTGTGCCCACATTCTAATGGCTTTTATGAAACAATCTGTTTTGTGGTGTTATCATCATCATCACCTACTCTCAGCCCTTCTGTACACTTAGTCACTTTTTCATCACTGAAACACAATACCCACCACCAGTTTAAGGGAAAAGAAGTTTATTGTGGCTCTGTTTACAAATGTTTAAGTCTATATTCTGCTGGCAGGGTGGCAGAGGGCATGGTGGAGATGACTGCTTGTGGGATGGCATCCAGGAGGCAGAAAAGGTCAAGGA